AAGTGATGTCTTGGACTCGATGGTGGTCATTGGTTGAAGTGATGTCTTGGACTCGGTAGTGGTCGTTGGTTGAAGTGATGTCTTGGACTCGATGGTGGTCATTGGTTGAAGTGATGTCTTGGACTCGGTAGTGGTCGTTGGTTGAAGTGATGTCTTGGACTCGATGGTGGTCATTGGTTGAAGTGATGTCTTGGACTCGGTAGTGGTCGTTGGTTGAAGTGATGTCTTGGACTCGGTAGTGGTCGTTAGTTTATTTGTTAGCTGAGTCATGTTAACTGTCATTGATGCAACTGGTGTCATAGACTTGGTAGCTGATGTTGGAAGTGATGACTTAGACTCGGTAGTTGACATTGTTGGAAGTGATGACTTAGACTCGATAGTTGACATTGTTGGAAGTGATGACTTAGACTCGGTAGTTGACATTGTTGGAAGTGATGACTGGTTGCTGGTTGCTGGTTGCTCTGACGCCATAGGCTTGGTAGATGCCTCTGTTGTGCTGGTAATTGGTGCTGTCTTAGATGCTGCTGTCATCTGGATACTTATTTGCTGCACAACTGCTGTTGTTGACAGGCTCTGGGTGAGGTTTGTTATCTGGCCTATTGTCGTGCTGATTATGCTCGTTGGTATAGTAGATGCAGGCCCTGATGTTGGAGAATCTTAGAGAGAGAACATTACAGTGAGTCCAGTCTGAGTGTTGTGTTCTCTCATGACTCAAGGACAATTAACGGCACCAGTTATTTGGCGAGGTTCATGCCTTTACCTGCATGACTTGGGGTAGGAGAACCCGTCTGTGTAGATGTCGTATCTGACTCCACAGTGACAGATATGCTCGAAATTCCTAGGGTAGGAGATGGAGGAAAAGAGACATGGCACTGATTTGCAGAAATTCTATCTCAGTTACTTCAGTAGCTTTGCAGTTAGTGGTTACATCGCCATTATTTTTCCTAGACAGTGACATTGAAAATATCTGGTCTTGATGTCTGGACCTGCTCTGTGTGAAGAGTAATGCCCTCGCTTCCAGTATGACTACCACATTTCTACCCATTTCTAAGAGTAAATATAAATGTTAAAAGCAAAAACTTAAATGATAAAAAATTATGTAACCTGCATCGTTTAAGTAATGTCCAGTTCCTTCCAGGGGTGGATTCATTTCCCTGGAGCCCTTAGTCTAACATGCCTAAGGGGTCCTCCCCAGGCAGACTACTTCAGCCAAATGAGAAACCAGAGAAGTAATAATGGTGTAATGTCAATAATCCGCTAATCAATGCACAGGGTGCAGTTAGTAAAGCTTGTTTATATTGGGGGGGTAAAATTGGATTTATCAATCAACTTAGCTAGTAATTTATTTAATGATTTAATGAGTTCCATTTCGATTGACTTTGCTAGGACCCTGTGCTATATGGCAGCCTAATCTTATTCGTTAATCCGCACATGTCCTTTAATAAGAACTGGGCATAGTGAAGGGAAAAGCTGTACTTTTTCAAGTGTTTCTGTCCCCTGCGACAGTCACATCTGATTTCCACACAACACTAGATGCCCATAGTCCGACCACAGCATTTAATAATAAATGAATAAATTAATAAATAAATAACAATAAAAAACTGAACCAGATGACTGAAGTGGCCCGAAGCAAATAACGGAACATCAGTAACGACCGCCTGCTTTCAGTGGAGACCTGCCAAGGGAAAAAGCAGGACGGGATCTGCCACACCCGCGTGGGAACCGGGCCGATAAAGGGCTTCCTTTGGCGGTTCAAATACAGCGCTCCAGATTAAAACAAAAATAACCAAATAATAACGTAAAAAAGCTAGAAGGATTAATAAATCACTCAGCACGCGATTGTCGACGATTGTAATGAATCGCTAGTTTATTATTTATTTTTATGTTTATTTAACGTGAACCAGATGTCAGCAAAGTCACTTTGCCTAAGTAATGGAAAGCCCTGTTAGAAAAGAAGACAAACTCTATTAAAGATAACAGCACTCCCACCGTGTATTTAGCAGGCATCAGCACAGCAGGTTAATTACGCGTCCCCAGCACCTCCGCCGCACCGGTCGGTCTCCAGCCGCGCCGCGGTGTAACGCTGACGGATAGACCACCACCCTTCCAACGCCCCCCAGCGGCACCGAGATTTAGCTTTGGTGGGGGGAAGCTCCCACCAAACTTTTACATTATATGTTACACCACCTGCTCAAAAACGCATTAACATTAAACAAATAAATCCGAAGGAACAAATAAACATACCATTATATGCAAAAAATAATAAAAGGAGCCATCCAAAAATATTCATTAAAAATAACTCCGAATAACCAGGACCCTGCCGATGAAGGAATACCATAATAAATTATGGTATTAATAATAATCAATAAATAATCAATAAACCCTTGGCTAGTATATTTTCAAAGTTACTATGTCCACAAATTCCAAATGTAAAATAGCATTAAGTAGGCTAATACATGCGTACATCCACGTTAATAAGATTGTAACTTCATGACGATAATAAAAACCTCAGCGTCCTATTTCAGTTCATATTCTTAATCAAGTAAAGAGAAAATAACATTATTTTACATAAAGTGAAATGTACACTTACCCATTAAGAGTAGCGCCAACAGCGATCTCATTGTGCTTTTTATATTTTTCGGTGATTTATCTCGAAGTTGCGCTTCTCAGCACCGCGTCTATCTGCGTCTGTCCGGGGCTCAGTAGCGGACCTACTGCGCGTTCACGTCGCTCGTGGCCGGAGAGTCTGGCTTCTAGGGCGGCAATGCCAGGACTCCCAGCCCCACAAACACTTATCATGCCAAAGCAGACAGCGGCACTGGGAGGACTCTAATCGCCGGGAACAATGAGGATAAAGCAAACGCCTCCCCCCGACTCTCTGTCGATATTGCTGAGGATTTATTGTGTGTCACAGACCAGACAGCTGACAATTACACAAAGTAAATGTCCAAACAGTGTTTGTCAGTGGTGGTTATTATTACTATTATGATTATTTCTACAGTGCGGTCTTCTTTAGAAATAATGTAGCCACTTCAAATTTCATTAAAATATTTCATGAATTCCCCGAATCAGGTGTCCTGGCAGAAGGTGACAGCACACGCTTTTCGCAGCAGATCCCCAAGCCTGAGAAAAACGTTTCTGTTGACCAGCTATTGAAATGTTTGCCAGCTGGATTTGGGGCCCTAAATGTGAATTGTTTTAGTCCGACCATCATTAAATTCAGACCTTTACTATAGCAACCGGAAAGAATTCGGCGCCTTTAACAAAAGGTACCAGTGACGATTGTTTTAAATTGTCAGTCTGTAACTGGCACATTTCGTCTTATATAATTAATTAGAAAAATGAATGCATAATTAACCGATTCCTTATTTCAGCTGCATGCAGGCCTTTATTTATATGAGCTTTTTGTGTCGGATTCTGTGTGTGCATCAGCAGACGTGTCTTTTTATGGGTGGGCGGTTTATAAAAATTCGTATCACTCGGAACCGCAAGAAAAGGACATAGTTCGATGGGGCAGCAGGTGACAGAAGTGATGAAGGAAGACTCCCCCCCCATGTCACGGTCACTTTGCATTATCCCGCCGGGTTTCCCGCGCGCTGGTCCTTTGCCCGTATCCCATGACAACCAAAGCCCTATTCACGCGTTGTTCACATGCTTTCAGCAGCTTCATTCAAAGCAAACCTCACCTTCATGGACATTTAACTCAGGCTGAAACGGACCATGTGCGGTTTTGCTCTCAGCCCCCGGTTCAGGTTTCAGGGGCAACTTTTCAAGAACTTTATTGTAACAGCACGTGAAGGAAGCTCCTCTCTTTCGTGACATGAATTGCTTTTGGGGTTGTTTTAGAAGGTCATTCAATATGGCTTGAATTATATCATTTTGGTGCAGTTTATCTGTTAGCACATAAGGACCTAAGAAATTTACAAAGAGGAGGCCATTCGGCCCATCAAGCTCATTTGAGGAGAATTCAAGTAATAGCTCAGAGATGTTAAAATCTTATCTAGCTCTGATTTAAAGGAGCCCAAGGTTTAATATACCTGGATCATGTCCTCCCCTTAGTTTCCTTTGCTCAAAGCTAAACAGATTCAGCTCAGCTAACCTCTCCTCATAAGACATTCCTCTAAGACCAGGAATCATTCTTGTAGCCCTACATTGAACCCTTTCCAAGGTAGCAATGTCCTTTTTAAGGTATGGTGACCAAACCTGCAGACAATAGGTGAGGTCTAACCAAGGAATTGTATTATCTTGCCATCACCTCCCTTGACTTAAACTCCAAACGCCTAAAGCTATTTAGATTAACTGAATATTTCATTTTTTGTTCTGATGTTCTCCTGATGCACAGGGTGTAACAAAAATGGCAGAATCTCTAAACAACATCAAGCCAGTATCAAGAACTAATACGGGCTGCATAATGATTTAGTGAGTAGCACTGTGATCTCATAACTCACCGTTTATTTGTGTGGAATGCTCTTCCCCATGTCGGAGGTGTTTTCGCCCTTTCAGGGTTACCTGAAGATTTCTTGTGAGTGTGAGTATGACAGAGTGAGTGTCACGCCAGATAGGTGAGCGTTGGCAACTCTGCTCTTAATTCAAAGACATGCATTTCTGAACATGTCTGCTTTGCGATGATGTGGCAGGCAGTTTGCCAGGTTGCCAGCCCAGGCCTGAACTGGACCATTCTTCAAGAAGAAAGCCCGGTTCTTTGAGGGATCAACTTCATACTCTGAGTTTTCTGTAAAAGTAAAACGAAGTTCAAATTTGGTGATTGGGGAGGCCCAGGAAAGCATTTAACTTAAGTATCCATGGTCCTCTTGGAATATGGGCACATCCTGTAAAATTGCCTCATACAGCTTGTCTGTTATATGACACTGCAGAGCATTGGACCTAAAGGCTCTCACAAGATGGCACCAGCACACATTCTGGGATGAAGGCATCCTTTGGCTTTCTCCAAATGTAAGCCCAACCGGATGAGGGTAAACAAGCAAAAGATGACTCATGAGACTATGTAACCCTTCCTGTGAATAAGCAGTCCTTAAATGAGGTGCACTGATCTTGGGGACGACTTGCTTTCAATTGACAGCCCTGCATATATTCATCTGAAGTTCAGTTTTGATGTTGCTTTCCTCGAAACATTAATTTGTGACAAATGACCATCAGCCTCTTTGGAGCTCTGATAGCTGCTTCACTTTGCTTTGAAATCTCCCGTATCACAATCGCAGATTGTGGGGTCATGATGTCTGTTCCAGTGCCTACCTTGAGGGTACAGTGGTCAATCAGTGGCCAATGTGAGCCTGAAGACCACTCCCCTATCGAAGAAGCAAGGAACTATTAATGGTAAAGAAAAATAGAATAGAGTAAGAGAAATTAGCATGATTTGAAGTTTTTCACTGGCCATCGTGACCCTAATCCTTGGGGTGGGTGGGGCTGTTTTGATGTGAGCGTGCAGGATAGAGGTGATGAGGACACAAATGTTCCTCCTATGTTCTCCGTGGAATTGTTTGCTCATGAGTTCACAATTTTGAAGTAGCTTGTGAACCCTCCCCCGGACCCCTCCCCCTCCCCCTCCTCACCTATCTCCAGCCAATCTCTGTAATGCCTGCACAGGAGGTCTGGTGCCTGGTACCAGGAAGTTTGAACCTGGGCCTCCTGGTGATGAATTCCCCTTTGAAGACCTGACTTGCTGTGAGATTTATGGCGCAGGCTAAGACAGGCCAGGTTATCTCTGAGTTGCGGCCAATGGGATCGCCTCCTTACACCTGCTACTTGGGGAGCCATTTATAACGCGCTGCACAAAAGTCAAGACATGACAGAAGATGTGTGAAAGTGTGTCACTGTAACCTGCTGCGTGTTGCGTCCGAATCCGGAACGGATAAGCAAACCATTCTGCTTCTCTTTGCCCCCGTTTGTAATTTAGAGGTTTATTGACCTTAACGTGCTTTCTGAAGTATGCTGAAATGTCCAAAGCGCCGGGGGGCAGACCAGTCAGCCATTTCGGCGCTGACACCTCGGGGCGACTTTGGCCGTGAGTGCAGTGGGTCCATCTGGCTGGATTAGCAAGAATGACAATATGCCAAACTGCTTGTCTATGGACATCAAAACTTACTTAAGTCATTTGTGGATCCATGAGAGTGTTACTCGAGACTGAGTGTCTAATAATGTGTATGATTCAGAAATATATAAATATATATATGTATACTTGTTTGCATGTGTGAGTTTCTTAGGAGACACTTTGTTGCGCGCGCACTGAAGAGGAAGTTAAGGAGGCTCTGCTCACGTGTATCTGTGTGTCTCGGTGCATGCATGGATGATGAGGTAGTTGGTGTAGCTGCTGTGTAAGCAGTGAGTCCTGAACTCCCTGACACAACCCAGAACATCCTGGCCAGTCTTATCAAAGCCCCCCGCCGTCCCAGGCATCCCTCGGTACAGGCACAGGACATGAATACCACTCAGCCTCTCCCTATGTTTTCCTTCAAGACAGCTTAATTATTCAACTGCGTGCCCTCCTCATACACAAGAAATGCAGTGCAGCAGGTGTTTGGAGACAAACACCATCGCCTCTGTGAGGTGACAAACTGCAACGGGAACAACGGGTGTCGGCAAACCGTGGGCTGACCGGCTACGCAGAATGAATTTAGAATTGTATAACGTTAAAGGTGGCTGGTGAATTTGTGACATTTTTACAACGTGAAGTGTTTTAAAACTACCCTTAGATGGAGGATGTCTGCATGAGGAGAGATATTCAGGCAAACCAGCGTGGCTGGATAAGGTAGGAGTATGAGAGGTATAATCAACCACCAAAAACATTACACCTCCATGCTACTGGAACTGAATGCCGGACAAACTGGGCCAGGCAGATGTTCTATCCTCTTGTTTCCTGCAGACACTAATCCATCATCCTTTGAATATTTGCTTGTACCCCTTGAATTGTGAAGGACACCAGGAAAGGGGGACAGTACCCTAAAGGGACTCCCCGCTCCCGGAATGTTCAATCGGGAGACTGGGGGAATCCCCGCTGGGCTGTTTAGCTGTTATGCTGGTCAGAAACAAAATAATTTGCCAAGTTTAAAGTTGAGGCATTTTAAGTAATTTTACGACTTTTAAATTCTACAAAAAGCTTCAGAATATTAACCAGCGAGTTTTCTCACCTATTTGTGCACGCGCACGCACTCACACCCACACACACACAGAAACGTGCAACTACGCGGCACGCGCGCCAGTGTGATCACTTGTCATTGAGAACTGTCATTCAGTGAGCGCAGTGCGCAGTTGCAGAGGTGCCACAACTAATCTCTTGCTACTGCTGATCACTGGAGGTTTCTCAAACGATGGATGTGGACCAGGCGGGGCTGAAAAAGTCAAGCTGCTTGAACAATTCAATATGCTGTTTATTACTTATTTTCTTCTTGAAATGTCAGCAATAAATTTATCGGGATAATAATAAGACTGTGGCATCATTTATCAAAGTTTCCCCCAGAACGAAGACAAAACGGGCCGGTCCTGAGCATAAAACTACTGGGCTGAAAATGAGTTCCGCTCTATTTATTCTTTGATGTATAAGGTTTTTAAAATCATAGCCTTGTCCAGACACTCAACCTTTCATCCAGCCTTCTGTTCAATAGCAGTACACTTATGAATGGTAATGTACTACTGCTCCCATAACCCTGTTAGCCAAACACACACACCCAGTAACCACTCGATCTTAGACCTCATCGAACAGCAGTTTTAAAGCAGCTTATTACCAGTACATCACTTATCATGTTTTGTACTCTACAGTTAACCAAAATCTGCCCGCAGCATAAATAAACTTATCTGGGC